TTCTGGTATGTTGATGGCATCTTTAAGTCCAAAAATGGTTAACTAGTTGCTGCCTTGTGTTGTTGAATTTATCAATTTGTTGCTGCCATGTGTGTCTGAATTTCTGCAGAAATATGGAAGAATTTGGCAGCATTTTAAACATGATTTTTTTAGCTTAATTCATGTAGAAATAAACCTGTTTTTGGCTTGAAATTAGCTGCTGTTCTGTGTGGAAAAATCCTGCTGTTTTGCCAAAATTTTTACTGTTCACGCGCAGTTACTGTTCACGCAGGAAAATTTGCAATTTGCTGCTGCGTTTTCTGCATTTTCTGCTGCATTTTTCTGCAAACTTGCTGCTGCATTTTCTGCACTTGCTGCTGCATTTTTCTGCAAGTTGCTGCTGTTTTCACTGTTCACGCAGAAACATTCGGCATTTTCCTGCACTGTTTTTTGACCAGAAAACTCTGTATTTTCTCCAGAAAAATTCTGCATTTTGCAGCATTTTTCCTTGCTATTTTTCTGCATTGTTGTCCCCCAAATTTCTTGCCATTTACTGCAAATTTCTGCTCCTTGCCAAATTCTAGAAGTTGCAGTTACTGTTCACTGCGTGCACTGTTCACGTGCACTGTTCAACCATTGAATTTTAATTGATTTGAGTAGAAAATCTCATGGAATGTGTTAGTTATGGCATTGGATTAATCTTGGTCCAGTAGTGATGTATTATTGATTGGGGTTTTGTTTGGTTGTGAGAACGTGATGGGAAAATGAAAAGGGAAATGGTTATTAATTCTTGAATATTTTGATTAGGTTCCTGATCGTTTGTCAGTTTAGCACCAAGATCGAGTCTTCGGTTTTATGCGAGTGAGGTAAGTAAATTTATGGTAATGCCCGTACTGTTTTTAAAAGCATATTTTGATTTGTTTTTTTTGAAGTGGTGGCGGGACTAAACCTGTCTTATACAAGCATGACTGATTTGAAGCGAAATTTTTATGTTTTCATTAAATTGAGCATGCCTACTTGGAATTTAAGTGACTGTCCTGATGATCTGGAAGTGATGATCTGAAAGTGATTGTGAATTGTGATTTTCCTGTGAACTTCTGCTTGTTTTGTCTCCGATATGGTCATGTTATTCGTGTGCCCGCTAGTGGGAGGTTTATAAACGCTAGCACATGTCGACATGTTATTGATAGAACCGGTTCGTTTGAGTGACCCTGCTAGTGGGGATTATACACCAGCAAATTCTGTAGCCTGCCAGTGGGAGGTTTATAACACTGGCCATGACCTATAAAGGAGACGTCTATTTCGTGCCCGTACTGTATCTGTTTTCATGATTACACTTGTTGGCATGCTATGGGTTTAATTGACGATTTGACATTGAATGCTTTGCAAGTGAACTGAATCTGATTTTGCATTGACGGTTTTGTCATTGAACGTTTTGCTATTGAACCGAATTTGATTTCTGCATTTACAGTTTATTAGTGAAAATTCTGTTATACTTACAAGGTTTATCTGGCATGCTTACATTTTTACCCAGGGGCTATCCATATTTACTTACTGAGTTATCTCATAGTTTTCCTTGTCCACCATTTCAGGAAGTGAAACCGGGGACGGGGAAACCACGGGAAGTGACGAGTTAGAAGGCTAGCCATTTCGGGATTGATATAGATTTTAGAAATAAATCATGTTTTGTAAGATAGATGTTACCTTGAGATTTTAAGTTTAAGTCATGCTGGACATAGAATTATTGAAATATCTTATTTAAGTGATTGGATCGTCAGATGTGAAGTGGATAAGTTCCGAGCCTTGTGCATTTGTGGGACCCTCTCACGAGTGCACGGCGTCTGTCGCGCCTCGAATTCGGGTTTTGGGGCGTGACAACATGCAATAACACTCAACAAATTAGTTTTGAAAGCATATTAATCCATAATTTATATTGATTGATTATGGTAAAGTCGATGCCTTAATACCTCATATATTGGATACTTTTATTTTAATTGTTATTTTTTTATTATTTTTAATTAAAGTTTCTTTTTTTCAATTGTTCAAATAAATTCAAATTAATTATTTTTTGTACTTAATTAATCACAATTCTTGTGGACTCAACACTCTTCTCATCATTATATTACTTGATGCAGCCAATACACTTACTAGAGTGATTTTAGTGCATCACTTAACAAAGTACAATCACTAAAGCATTGGTATGTAGAATCGATGGAGGAGAAGGGTAAGAACACTTTTTTTACTTTGTCTGTGACTATGATTTTGGTTAGGGCTCAACTACAGGGCCACAACCCCTTTTAGGCTTTTACTTTTGTTTAACA